CTATGGTACCTGATTTAATAGAGTTGTGAATTTTACTCTATCTATCTATCTATCTATCTATCTATCTATCTATCTATCTATCTATACTTAGGCTTCACACCCAGCATGGAGCCCAACTTGAGGCTTGAACTCATAACCCTGAGATCAAGACCTGAGCTGAGATAAAATCGAACACTTACCAACTGAGCCACCCAGGTGCCCTAAGTCATGAGTTTTAAATGAAACAGTCTGTATGAAGTACCAAGGATACTGGTGGGCATCATCAGGGCATCTTCATGTTACTTAACATCTAAACTCTTGGGGTGCTGGGAGCAGGTAGAAGCGTTCCTGCGGATGGTTTCATAGGACAGTCCTGAGGAACGGAGGAAGAGTGAAAGCAACCCTGGCGTCTCTGGCAGTGGGTCCTGAGAGCAAACATGAGTCAGCCCCAGGTGCCGAGGGACCAGCAGTGTTCTCAGCACTGCTGGGCGTGGGCTATGGTCACTTGGCCATGGTCCTCTTCAGTCATGCTGTCTGAATGTCCTTCTTATAAATCTGGTCTGGTGGTTTTTTTTTTTTTTTTCCCCTTTCAGAAAAACAGCCTCCACCATATGATGTCATGGTCCAGCCTGGATCTGGGAAGGAAGGGAGGAGGAGGTTGTATGTATGTAGTTGGGTAAAGCAGCATCTTCTTATTTCTGGAGGGGTCTATCTGGCCCTGGAAGAAACTCTCTATCCTTTTCTCCTCTTTTCAACCTCATTTTCAAGACCCAGTAAGAAATCAATATTCAGGGGCGCCTGGGTGGCGCAGTCGGTTAAGCGTCCGACTTCAGCCAGGTCACGATCTCGCGGTCCGTGAGTTCGAGCCCCGCGTCAGGCTCTGGGCTGATGGCTCAGAGCCTGGAGCCTGTTTCCGATTCTGTGTCTCCCTCTCTCTCTCTCTTCCCCTCCCCCGTTCATGCTCTACCTCTCTCTGTCCCCAAAAAAATAAATAAATGTTGAAAAAAAATTAAAAAAAAAAAAGAAATCAATATTCACATGTAGATTGAGAGGGAGGTGATACATCACAATGGTTAAGACATGAAGCTTAGCATCAAGCAGTCCCAGGTTTAAATCCTGACTGTCAGTTGCTACCTTTGAGGTCTTGGGCACATCATTCCTGTTTCCCCATTTTACCCACAAACAAGATAATTCTAATGTTACGGTAGTAAGGTTTTAAGACATATTTGCAAAGCTCAGGACATGTGTCAGAGAACACACTATGCATCACATAGTAATTGTTCAATAAATGGTAGCTACATTAAGAACCAGCATTTGATGAGGAATATGACCTAAGCATTTTCTCTGCTTCTTCTAACTTGAGAACCAAAGTTTTCTCCAATAACCATTCTTCCCTCTGTGGGATGGCCATACTCACACTGAGCGTTCCATCATTCTGGAGATGAGGAGATGGGGAGAGATGGAGCTGTGTCCCTACATCTTTGTCTTCCCTCCCTTAGCTAGCTGGCTCCCCAGCTGCAGCTCTTCTGGTTCTCTCTGCTACCTCCCTGCCCTCTAAAGAAATCTGTTTTCTCTCTCCAGCTTGGAAGGATCAGCCCCTCCCAGCCAGGACTTCTGGCTCCCCTGACCCTGACTCTCCCCCACATCCTCTCCTGAGCTCTGGTCTTTATTTTGCAGACAGCTGGAGAAGAGGCCAGCATATGTGAATGTCTCTACATGGTAGAGATGCTGATTCCAGGATGCTCTGCATGCAATTTCATGGTGTAAGAGGCCCCCAGTGCTTTTTACTCCACACTATGTTGTTCTGGATTTGGGTGTAGGGGGAAGGGTGAAGATTAAAAATGGCGCTTCTTTTAAGGATCAACTCACCTCTCTTCTCGTTTCAGGCAGGATGTCCCTTCCCCTGTAACAAGAAGGGGAATTTACCTGGCAGTAGGATCCCCATCAAGGAAAAGTCAGTCTAGGTTGGGGCCATAAATCTCAGGTTAATGTCCAGCTGGGCCAGAACTAGATCCCTCTCTTCCTAAGCAGTAGGAGTGGGTGTGGAATATGGACAGAGGACTAAGGAAGTGTGTAGGAAACAAAGACCAGACTCCACTGGATATGAGACAAAAAGACTACAGATAATATTATACTACAGTTAAAAGAAAAGAGGCACATCTGTATGTGCTATTGTGAAAAGAAGCCCAAAACATGTTATTAAAGTAAAAAAAAAAAAGTCATCAAACAACAGAGATATTATATCCCATTTATGTTTTTTTAAGTCCAAAATATATAGGGAAGTGAGAAAGGAATAAAGGTATAAAGTTTTCTGTGTTTAAATATTTTGCAATGAGTATATACTTGTGTATTACCTGCAATTAGAAAGTATATTTTTGGGGTGCCAGGGTGGCTTAGTTAAGTGTAAGATTTTGGCTCAGGTACTAACAGCTTACAGCCTGGAGCCTGCTTCAGATTCTGTGTCTTCCTTTCTGTCTACCCCTTCCCTGCTCACACTCTGTCACTCTCTCTGTCTCTCTCAAAACAAATAAACATTTAAAAAATTAAGTATATTTTTATAGCAGAAAGTATGTTTTTAAGGCAGCAGTAGGGTTTAAAAGGGAAGGTAAGAGGGCGTCCATGGGTGGAATACAGGATTTGCATAAAAGAACCAGCTTCTGTCCTTAATGAAGCCCTTCTCTGTCCCCTCCTTGCAGAACATGGGACTGTCTTCTATGGCAAAGCGAAGTCTCTGGTCCTCTTTCAGCCCCAGAGTACCCCAATACCAGACCCCCAGTTACCAGGATGCCCTCAGGGGTCAATGAAACAGCCAAATGTCCAACTGGTAAGGAAAAGTAGGAAGAGGAAAATCAGGAGGAGGGAAAATTCCCAGATTCTCCAATGGGAAGGTTAGACTCCCAAGTTCCGGAATGACTACATCAGACTTCCCTTTGGAGGCCTCTATGTCATGCTGCAAACTGAACCCCAGCTCCAGGCTAAAGATAACATTTTCTACTGAGTCACCTATATTTTCCCTTTTGATTCTAAGGTCATTTTATATATGAAAATGTTGACCTCCAGAGATATGAAATGACCTGCCCAAGATTACACAGCAACACAGAAGCAGAACTTGCCTTTAGAATCCCAACCAATGCTCGTTTGTGTTTGTTTGTTTGTTTGTTTTTATCAAACGATACTATACTGCCCTATTTAAAACCCAGCATTTATTTTCGTCAACTTTAATCTTGACCCCCAACCCCATTCCTAATTCACGGTGGGCTCAGGTGTTTCTGGCCCCAGCCCAGTGGAAATGGTTTGTTTTGTTTTCTGTCCCTCCATGCTTTCCCTTCCCATCTTATCACCCAGAAATCTCCCTCTTGACCATGTTTCCTTCTTGAAAAGGGCAGTCATGGGTGGGAGGAAACGAATGGATTCGGTCCCTGGCCTGATGTGGCCCTGAGGCTGTCTGGCTCTTTCCTGCACATTGCAGAAGATGACAATCACCAGGAGGGCTTTGGGGTTCCTGCCAACTGGGCCACCTCCTTTCTTCTTTGGGATGCCTTATCAAGGCAACCTCTTGACCCTAGTGATGGAGGAGGACAACAGGCTTTTAGTGGCCATAATTCAAGAGCCTAAGACCCTGAGATGAAGATTTGAAGAGAGATCATGAAAGATAATTTATGGTGGGCAGAAATCTGTAAACTGGGACAAGAGCAGCAGCTGAGTCCAGGGGTCAGTGTCTGGGAGTAATTTAGGAAAGTTCAGTGCTGACAGCTGTGTCTGGAGTTAGTTGAATGCCAGGGCCAAACCAGCTCCTGGGCTGCTCGGCTGCTTCAGGCTAATGAAGCTCTGGCTCGGGACACAGAGACAGCTGTGGTATGGCAGAAGTCAGGGCCCCTGGGGCCCCAGGCCCAGCCTGGCTGCTTCATAGCAGTGTAACCTTAGGCAAGTCCTTAGGAAAGAAGGAAAGGAAACGTCCACTGAGTGAGTCCAATGCCCTTTCACATACATTGTCCTCAGTACAGTTTATCCAGGAGGATGATGTATGTCCTTATCTTACAGGAGAGTAAGCGGAGATCATCAAGGTAACCGAGATCATTCTGGGCTATCTGGCTAGGGAGTGGGAAGACAGAAGAAATACCAGTCAGAGCTTCTGAACTCAAGTTCTGGGCTCTTTTCGCTGAGCTTTCGCTTTTTTCCCTGTAAAACAGGGACAATAATGTACCCACCTTGTGAATGAAGTCACCCATAGTAGGTTCTAAATAAACCCTTCCCTTTTCACAACCTTGGTCTTGAAGAGAGAGTAGTGGCCACTTTCTTCCTAGGAATGGAGTAATCTTTTACTTTTGCCCCTCCCTCCCATCCTGTTTATGGCACCTTTTTCCTAGGAATGAAATCATCTTACTTTTGCCCTTCCCCCCATTCAGATGTGTGGATCGAGGCCCCAGGAGGTGCCTCCGAAGGGAGGGTATTTGGATTTTGGTTTCCCCTCTGCCCGGATCCCCAGGCCTTCTCCTGACTCTGGAGGGCTGGCTCCTTCATCTCCACCTCCCCAGTTTTGGCGGGTGAGTTGACATCAGTGGGTGTTCCCGGGGAAGGGGAACTCTGAGCCCAGCTCCAGGAGCCCCTTCCCCCACGGCCCAAGACAGCCCCAACCTCCTTCCTTAGATACTGCGGCGTGGAGAGGCCCTCTGAACTCCCAGCCCCTTTCTTCTGCAGGTCCGTGATAGCAACACGCTAACCCCCTTCCTCAGCCCCCGCATCGAAAGAGAAGGGGACGACTAGGGTCCCGGGAGCGGATGCTCAGAGACCCGGGAGGGTCCTTGGGCGCCACGCGGCTCAGCCCAGGAAATGCATCCCGGTTCTGGGGTTACGAGGGGAGCTGTCCAGCCCCGCAGGGTGAACTAGAAGAAAGAGTGGGCCAACGCCGACTCGCCGGAGGGAGCGGCGGGCGCCGGGGCGGGGTGGGGCATCGACTCCCCCTCCGGCCCGCGGGCCCCGGGCGTCGCCCCCGCCCCCCACGTGGCCGCAGCCGTCCCAGCCCCTGCGAGGAAGCGGCGCGGCTTCCTGGGGCTTGGGCCGGGGATATAGGCGCCCCCGCCCGGGCCCGGCTCAGCGCCACCGCCCCTCCTCGCCTGCTAGCCGCGCGATGGCCTCGCTCCGGGCAGAGCGCGCCGCCGGCGGCCCGCGGTTCTCTACGACCCTCGCGGGGCGACCGGCAGCGCTCCGCCTCCTCCTCCTGCTGGGCGGTGAGCGCTGCGCCCCGGGGCTCTGGCGGGAGGCGCGGGAGGCCCGGAGGGGAGGGGGGGGCTGGACCGCCGAGGCCGAAACGGGCCCCGGGGTGAGGGCGGAACAGCGCTGTGCTCCGACAGTCCCCGGCTCCACCTCGGTGAAGGCGCAGCGCGAACTGCTTCCCACTTGGAGGAACGTGGGGTGCCGGGAGCCCGGCGGAGAGGTCTTGGGAGGTCTGGGGCTGGCCTGGAGGAAGAGGGTTTGGGGTCTGGATGTGAGTGGGAGGGAGCTGGTATCAGCCCTCTCTTCCAGTCACTGAAGCACCCCTTGGGAGCCTGGATTATTCTTCTTTCTCTTCTGCGAGTAGCTCTGACTTCCAAGGGTCTCAGACCCCTCCTCCAGGCTCCACCGCCTAGATCCCCGCCATCCTCCTTCCCTCCCCCATTTCTGCTCACAGCTGTCCTGAAGCCCCAGGAGTCCCTGGCTCAGCTTCTTCCCACTGAAGGCAGCTTGAAGTCAGAAGGTGTGTACCGCGCGACTCTGGGAAGGTGGCCGAGGGCAACGAGGAGAGCTAGGTCAGTGGGGAGGGTCCCTTTCCCACAAGGCAGGCCCCAACCCCAAATGAAATCGCACTAAACTCCCTTCCGTTCTCTCCTGGGGTTCCTTGTGGTCTTTCTCCCTCTCAGCCCACAACCCCCCCTCCCCCCCCCCCCCCCCCCCCCCCCCCCCCAGCTCTGAGCTGGCTCACCTCAGGTGGGTTAGAAGACCCCAGAAAAAAAACGTACATGGATGTTCCCGTCAGGCTGGGAAGTGCTGAGCACATGGAAGGCATTAACATTTTTCTGAGCTGAGACTCTCTCCTTGGGAAATTTTCTGAGGCTGTTCCTGGTGGCTGCCATGTCTGAAGACAGGAACAGTGGAAGTACCTGGACCTGAGGGCTTGGAGGGAGGGCCAGGGGTGTGGTCAGTGTGCAGCATCTGTGCCCACAGAGAACAAGATGGAGGACTATAAGGCGAATGCCCGGTTTTGCTGGCAATCTTATAAGGAGGAGATGGACTCTATCCCCAAGGACTGGTGCGACTGGACCATGATTAGCAGGTAGGGGCAGTGCTAGGGCAGCTTGGACCAGGGGTGGGGCCTGCTCCTTGTGTGTGGGCCTTGAGTGTGGGGTATTCCTCTCTCTGGGCCCAACCCCATATTCACTCTAGTCTTCCCTTGCTTCCAGGCCCTATAGCGACCTGCAATATTGCTTGGAGCATTTTGCAGAAGCATTTGGCCTGGGTTTCCCCAATCCCTTGGCAGAAGAGATCATCTTTGAGACTCACCAGATCCACTTTGCCAACTGCTCCTTGATGCAGCCCACCTTATCAGACCCTCCAGAGGATGTGCTCCTGGCCATGATCATAGCCCCCATCTGCCTCATCCCCTTCCTTGTCACCCTTGTGGTGTGGAGGAGTAAAGACAGCGAGGCCCAGGCCTAGGGTGGTGGTGTGAGCTATAGCAGTCATCTTACTCCTTTCTCCTGCCACCACCAGGTCTCTCTCTTCCCCTCCCTGCCTCCTTCTCTCACTCTCACCCCCACCACAGACACTTGAATTGCTGGAAATGGAAGCCCAGTGGTGGCACAAGTTTTGTAATCTTCAAAATAAAACTTTTTTTTTTTTTTTGGTACTATCCCCTCCCCATCCCAGAGTCTCTACCATTTCCCACAGCTCTGGGCAGCAGAGCTGGAAAATCTGGATACCAGAACTGTTTTGTTCACTTGCCTGCGCCTCACTATTCCTCTCCCCCCACTTGAAAGCCACCCCCTACACTGCTTCCTCCCAGGGCTGGGCCTTTCCTGTCCTTATCCAAAACCAACACCAGGAAACCTGCAGGAAGAGACTCCCTTCCGGCTTGGATGGCAGCTGGGGAGGTGTGGGGGAAGGGGCAAGGGTGGAATCTCTGCTGTGACTCCTGCGAGAAGGAAGGGGGACTGCCTAGGGGCTCTGAATTTTCCTCTTTTTCATGCCTCAGTTTACTCCCAGGGCCTAGGAATAGAAACCTTGATATGACCAAAAAGAGTTCATTCCTAAAGAGCTCAGGATTGAAGGGAAAGGCAGTGGGACTTACTCTACTAATTCCACCACAGAACTCCCTGTCCAGGTCCCTGGCCCTCATCCTACATTGTCCTGGACCCTGGGGGTGTGGCCTACAGCCTGTTAGCACACTGCCCCCTGGTGTCCACTGGAGCTAACAGCCAAAAGATGGATATGACCTGGAAGAAGCTCAAAGCTGAGGAGACTGGACCCTGGAATCAAACATCTGTCATCCCCATAGCAACCATTAGTTCTTAGCAAACCCTTCTATCAGCTTCCTAAGCCATACTGATACTCCTCTAAGACACCTTCCCACTTTCTAGGGACATACCTAGCCTCTGAACTCACCATTTCTGTATATGAATACTCTTACATGTTCCCTGGACAGTGAGGCCCAGTTTTCCCCAGAGGACCTTCATCTTCAGTTCTTCCAGATCATCAAAAATACTAGAGAACAAGGACAGCTGGATGGCTCAGTCAATTAAGTGTCTGACTTTGGCTCAGGTCATGATGTCATGGTTTGTGGGCTCGAGGCCCACATCAGGCTGTGTGCTGACAGCTCAGACAGAGCCTGGAGCCTGCTTTGGAGTGTGTGTCCTCTCTCTGCCCCTGCCCTGCTTGTGCTCTGTTTGTCTCTGTCTCCCCCAAACAAATAAATATTAAAAAAATACTAGAGAACAACTTTGTTCTCCATAAAGACACCTGTTTATTTTCTGTGGCACACGGAGCCTTGTCAGGGACTTTCCTTCCCTCCTTGCTGAAATATTTGCCTCCCTGAGTACATGCATATCCATTTCCTTGGGACATGCCTGTCTATTCCACAGGTAGATATCTGTATGCTTCCTAGAATGTATCTACTCATCCTCTGAGATAGACTTCTCTCAGGGCATATCTGTCTCTCTAGGGGCATACCTGTTCCCTAGGACATTTTGGGTTTTCACCTGAGATAAGTCTCTGCTCTGTTCCCATGAATGCATTGGTCTTCCACAGGGATATATCTATCCTCCTTTTGGCCCATATTTGCCTTCATGTGTTTTACTAATGTACATCAAGGGCATACTGGTATAAAATACTGTGTATGGTATATTGTGTTGGAAAGATAAGTTAGGACTTGGTTTCTGCTCTCAATGACTTTCCATCTAGTACGGGAGCTGACATGTGTACCAATCAACAAAAGCAATGGAGTGTGTGATTAGAGTCACGAAAGGGATACAAACCAAATGTTATCTAAGTGCAAAAAAAGGAGGGGTCACACCTAGCTGAGGTGTGATCACAGGAGGGTGATTGCAGAGTTTGTACACGACTAGGCCTTAGGATGGAGTGCATTTCCCCTAGGGAAGAGAATAGGAAAACAGGTGAATTAGGAAAATATTGTGATAATCCAGGCTTGAGAAAAAGAGGACATGGGTCAAAGGAGTGATGGATGGGAAATAGAAAATAAAAAGTAGAAGAAATGATTAAAAACAGGGGAGGGACTTTGGATATGAAGGAGATGAAAGAGAGGAGAGGTTAGAGCTGATTGAGGCTTTGCATCTGAGTTACTAGGACAATGATGGAAGTAATGGTAGAAAATGGCCATTAGGGAGAGAAGCTGGCATGAAGAAAGGGATTTACAATATGAGCTAAAAATGGAACAAGCTTTTATGTCCCACAGAGAGTTAGAAATGGGAGGGGTGTTGGTGGTGGAAAGAGATGGGAGCTGGAAATACAGATTTAGGAATCTTTTGCACAGAAATGTCAAGTGAAACCATGAGAAGGATGAAAGTTCTCAAGACAGAAGATGTATTGAAAAGAAAGCTAAAAGGGCACCTGGGTGGCTCAGTCGGTTAAGCTTCCAACTTTGGCTCAGGCTATGAGCTCGAGGTCCATGAGTTCAGGCCCCATGAGTTCAGGCCTCTATGCTGACAGCTCAGAGCCTAGAGCCTGCTTCAGATTCTGTGTCTCCCTCTCTCTCTGCCCTCCCTCACTCACACTTTGTCTCTCCCTCTCTGTCTCAAAAATGAATAAACATAAAAAAAAAAAGAAAGAAAGAAAGAAAGAAAGAAAGAAAGAAAGAAAGAAAGAAAAGAAAAGAAAGCTGAGAGGGCACCTGGGTGGCTCAGTCGGTTGAATGTAGCTCAGGTCATGATCTTATGGCTCGTGAGTTTGAGCTCCAAGTCGGGCTCCGCACTGACAGTGCAGAGCCTGCTTGGGATTCTCTCTCTCCATCTCTGTACCTCCCCTGCTCGCATGGTTCTCTCTCTCTCAAAATAAATAAAAGAAAAAAAGAAAAGGAAAGGAAAGAAAGCTGAGGTTAGGTTCTTAGGAAATGTGCACATTTATTTTATTTTTTTTAATGTTTATATTTGAGAGAGAGAGAGAGAGAGGGCGAGTGCAAGTGAGGGAGGGGCAGAGAGAGAGAGGGACACAGAATCAGAAGCTGAGCTGTCAGCACAGAGCCTGACACAGGGCTCAAACCTACAAACCGCAAGATCATGACCTGAGCCAAAGTTGGATGCTTAGCTAACTGAGCCACCCAGGTGCCCCATGGAAAATTACACATTTAAAGAATGAGGGGGAAGTGAGACAGAAAGATCAGAGAGACAGTAGCAGAACAAGGATAAAGCAGTGCCATGGAAGCAAAGGAGATAGTGCCTTTTGAAAGAACATTGTCAACAGAATGGTCCATCCATTCATACAACAAATATTTGCTGGGTACTACTGTGGATCAGGAACTGTGCACAATGAAGGGTGAACTTGGGTGGGGGAAAAGTTAAAGATTGGATAGGAAATTGAGAGGGTGACAGAGTCAAGGAAACTGTACATATTTTCAAGTAGGGATGGCCTATGCATATTTGTCAACTAGGGGAGAGGAGCCAGAGGAAAGGAAAAGAGGGTAGATGACACCCAGAGAAGTCCTGGAGGCACTTGGAAAAGAGAGGCAAGAAGATATGCCAAAGGTTGGCCTTGTAAAGGAAGAGGGACACTTCTTCCTTTGAATCCAAAATGAAGGGGTAAAAGTGGAGAGAAATTCTTGTGGGATGCATTAAGTGTGGTGACAAAGAGGGACAAAAAGGGAAAGATTAAGAAGTTCACATGTTCGGCCTCAAGTTCACAAAATAGAGAAAGGCATTCTGCAGAAAGGAGGAAGACGGAGACAGGTGGAATGACTTGACGACGGGAAAAATGTGAAGAGTTACCTGGAGGGATGTGACAAGGAATCAATAAAAGTGTTGGGCTGCACCGAGAGCCCAGCAGTGAGGTTAGTCAGGGAATCTGGGGGTTCAGCCAGCATGTTCAGACAGAATTGGGTAGTCTAGGCTGGGTAAGGAGTCAAATACGACCACAATGGGTCCGGAGTCTTGAGACTAGAAAGGTGAGGATGTGAGAGATAGATGGCTGTGGTCCAAAACGGCAGCAGTGAATCATGGAAGCTGACCCATTTTCAGCAATAAAAGCTACAAATATGCTCCCATGGGTGCTGCAGGAGACCAGGGAATGGTGGAGTCGAAGGACACAGTAATTGAGGAGGCTGGGGAATTGTGAGTGAAGTTAAATGCAACTAACACGTGTTAACATTAAAATAAGCCTTAGCAGAGTGAAACAAACTATCAAGCTATGCCGCTTTGGGGGAAGTCACTGCCCATTTCTAGAGCTGAAATGGGCTCTAAACGGTACGGATTTTTAGGTTCATAGCAAGAGACTGGCAGAGAAGCAAGATACCTTCCGTTGGGCGGCCCTTCTCGGGAAAGGCCTCCGGAACCTTTCTGCTGTGCTTTTTGCCCGGACGTGCAGAAGCGGAGGCCGGAAGTCCTCTGCCCGGAGGTTCCGGGTTTCCTGGGCTACTACGATGGCGATGAGTTTCGAGTGGCCGTGGCAGTATCGCTTCCCGCCCTTCTTTACGTGAGGCTCAGACCCCGAGAAGCCCCGCTGTGCCTCCCTCCCCTGCCCCGGACCCTGGGCTCAGCCCTGATGCTTCAAATGGGGAGGGGGAGAAAGGACCCGGTCGCCACCACCCTTAGTCCCTCACTTTGTCCCCCAGACGCGCCTGCGTCTGTGCTGCCTCTCGCCCTCTCACGCCCTCTAATTCTGCGCCCCACCCCCTTCACCCGGCAGGTTGCAGCCGAATGTGGACACTCGGCAGAAGCAGCTGGCCGCCTGGTGCTCGCTGGTCCTGTCCTTCTGCCGCCTGCACAAACAGTCCAGCATGACGGTGATGGAAGCTCAGGAGAGCCCGCTCTTCAACAACGTGAAGCTACAGCGTATCCTCCCTCAGGCTCTTCCACAGCCCACACACACGCACTTCTGCACTTGCACACATGCCCAGACTTCACACCCCCTTCACCCCAGTAGGCAGGTTCCCACCCAGACTGGACTTGGGAAGGAGCCATATGTGTAGCTGACTTCCATTTTAGCCCCAACCCCCAATGCAAATGCAGCATCAGACCCTCCAGTCCTAGGTAGTGATGAATACCCAGGTGTCATTCCGGGCTTAGAATCTCTGACCCAAAGCCAAGTCCCCGGTTTTCCAACCTGAGCCCTTTTGACTCTGAATCTCCTGTCCTCTTCTGAGTGAAGCTCAAACTCTGGTACTACCTTAAGTAATTTTCTCCACCTACTCTCCTTCT